CAGCGCTGTCATCACCAGGCAAAAAGCATCTGTATATTAAAAATGAAGGAAAAACAATACAAACCCCATAATTCTGCCCAGTTGTTGGGGTTTAGGGTTGGGTTGGTGTTTTTCTCCCCCTTCTCCTGACCCAGAGCATGTGAATATGTCATGGCAGGGATAACAACTCCAGAACTACCAAAGAAACCAAGAATCAGCTGTTCCAGAGATGATGTTGGAACAGCCCATAGCRAGGAGAATTTTTTAAAAAGCATAAAAAAAGTTGTTTTAAAGCTCCACATTGTTGCTGTCCGAGTTAATTGRATACAGTGGTAATTGGACATTGCAGATGTGTTTGTGACTTCTCCTGGCTGGCCCTGGACTTCAGCATTCCCTTAATCCTSTGCCATCCAAGGGGGCTCTTCTCTCCCCCCCAGCCTGTCCTGCTTCCCGCGCTGCATCCTGATGTGCCAGAGCTTGGAGAGCTGCCCGAGCGGCTCATTAGCAGTGCTCATTTCCCTGTGTCCAAGATTAATGAGGCACAGCCACTCCAGATGCTCCTCTCAGGCCAGGATGGAAATGTGAGTCCCAAGAACTGCTCCAGGAGGGGAGGGGGTGCTCAAGGCTGGGGGTCTGGCAGGGATAGGCAGAGATTTCTCCTGCCATCCCTTCTGGAAGCTGGGAGCTGGGTGCACTCAGTGAGAAAAGAGGGAAAGGAGAGTCATGATGGCAGAGCCCAGCTTCTAGAATGATCCTCATCTCTGGTCCAAGCACACTCCCATGTCTTCCTCTGGGATTATTTTGTAGGGAAAAGCTCCCCATTTCCCTCTCTGCCCTCCAGTCTGCAGATCTCCCTTCCAGAGAAGTGGATTTTGGGCTGGGGATGCTGCCTCAACCTCTGCCTCTAATTAAGGAGAAGGTTTTGTTACATTTGTGCCATTAGCAGGATTTTCTTTTGGGAGACTTCRCAAACATTGATTCCTGTTCAAATGGGAAAACAACAGTTTGTTGTGTTAATTACAGCTGATGTKCCCAGTAGGCATCCAAACACTGCATCCTCTGCAGTGGTGATGTATCCCAARGATTCCTGCTCCTTGGTTCTTCCAAAATGTATGTGGGATGGTTCCACAGGCAGTGCCAGTGTTTACAACACACTGGCAGTGACTGAACTGGCCTTGAAGTGGCCAAATTTGTGCAGAAAATCTTAAGGACACATAAAGACTATGGAAAAGCTGTTTGGTGGGGAATGCTGTCCTGGTAGCGACAGGAGACAGAGGGAATCTTGCAGACAGGGGAGAACTCCCATTTGGCACAGAATTCCCTGTGAAAGTACTGTCCCTCTGACTGCTGCTTCCAGATGAGCAGACAGGGAGGAGCTTAATTCACTATTGGCAATCCAATTCATTTTGGGTTTTTTTTAATGTCCTTTATTATGAGTTTTTTCATCCCACCTGCAAAATTCCGATGTGGACAGATAGCCTGTCTTCCTCCTTCCATATAAAATGGGGYGTCTGAAGTTGGCTCCTTTCATGGGCAGCCAAATTCTGTGTGCTTTCTCAGAGTCATGCAGCCAGTCCTCTGAGCTAAAAATGCAGGAAGAGGGCACCAAACTGGAGCTATTTTGGAGTTCAGGTCACTTGTATTTACTTGGCCAGGCTGGAGATCTGCCAAAAGCCAAACCAGAATGGCAGAAACACTGATTGCAACCCAACCCGCTTCCTGAAAAATCCAGAGAGGGCAGGGACAGAAACCAGGGAGCTTTCCTAGTGAATCTAAGCAGGGAATAAATTTCTTCCTGTTCTAAATTCTCATATGTCCTTTTTAACAGCAAAAAAAAGGAGGTTGTGTGGGGTAAGCTTGGAGATACCAAAGCTTTGAGCATCCAAAGGGAATTTGCTCCTTGTCTGTGACATGAATCTCTGTGGATGAGTGACAGGAGGACACTGGGATCTTCTGGGTATTCACCTGTATCTCAGCCTGATCCCAGTGGACTGGGAAAACCCTGTTGGACTAGCAGGTCTTGGATGTCCCTGATTTTGAGTACACACAGGCAGCTTCCATCCTGCAGAGCTGCAGGAATTGCTGCTGTAGCACCTGGAGGATCTGCAGCCCAGCATGGCAAGGGCTGGATGGGATCAGTGCTTCCCTCAGGAGAGGCAGGTGCCCTGGAAAGGACMGGAAAAACAGACGGCACCCAGGAAATCCTGGTTCAGGTTCTGGATGAGTGCTCCAACTCTGGTGGGATCACCAGTTCCTTGCAGTCTGTCTTTCCATATTTTCATTAAATTCATGGAGTGTCCATGTCTGTGACCCCAACGCCCTGCCAGACTTCTCTCATGGGAATCAACTCAAACATTTGAGGGAGAAAACATGTGGATCTGTACAGCATCTGCTTGTGCCAGCTGTATTCCCACAGGAGAGCAGGATGAGCCCAAGCAGGTTCCTACAAAGCTCTGGGAAATCTCCTGTTCCAGCTGCCTTTTCCACCCAAATCCAGAGCTGGGGCAGCTCAGGTAACACCCACAGTCCTCTGCTGGARAACCCAGTGTTACTCTCCATGCAGGGCTGCATGTGAGCCCAGGTGGGAGCTGGGATGTGACAGGTCTGGGAAACAGCGTGGGAGAGAGTCAGAGCTGGGAAAGAGACTGACAGGAAATGGGAGCGAGTAAATCACCGAGCTTGCCTGAGTTGTGACTAAAGGGGGAGCGTGAGACATCTGCAAATATTAGAGATGTGTAAACACGGAGCAGGCAGAGGGAATGGTGGAGGGAATGATTGAAGGGAGTGAACTTTTGGATGGAAAAATGTAGGTCAAGTATGAAGGAAAACTTGTAGGCAGCAAGATAAGTGCTGTAAAACAACCTCCTTGGGAAACACGAGGAAGTCCCACTGATGGAGATGTTTATCCTAAGGCAGATGAGGGCTGGAAAACAGGCTGAGCTGAAGGGAAGGATGCAGGGTCTCCATCCCAGATRGGCCCAGGTACAGCAGTGGTGCCCATCCAGCTCCTTGTGTGTCATAATTCCCCTTCAAACTACAGGTTGTTGTGGTGTAGTTAATGYATCTGGCTTTTAATCCTGAAAACCTCATGGCTTCAGGGGAATTCATCCCACCTTACTTCAGTCAGTTCAAAATCAAGCAAGTCATCCACACCAACTGTCCAAAATCCTGGATGGTCACTAGGGAAGGGAGCAGCACCTCCAGCCTGTCACTGCTGGACACTCTGGAGGATTGGGGTGTTCTCAGGACACCCTTTCCTTGTTGCTCTAAAGGCTGCCCAAATAATTAAGGTAATTAGTAAGGGCTCTCTCTGGTTTGCTCTGGATGACACTGGAGTGTGTGTGGAGCGGGTGGAAACAACAGCACCGTGTCCAGGCAGGGTCTTGTTGARTCCTCAGATTAGAAATGTGTCCTGCCCTGTTAAATCCTGGACAGTCAGTGGGTGCTTTGGAGCCCATTTTACACCCCCTGGTGCTGTGTCCCATCAGAGTAAGTGTCACTGTCCCCTGAGCTCTCTCCATGCTCACTGCAAACATTGTGTCTTGGTGCCCGTTAAACCTTTTGGGATGCAAGTTTCACCAGATGAATACACTTCTGTGAAAATTCCAGGTTTCATGATTTGGCATTNNNAAAAAAAAAAAAAAAAAAAAAAAAAAAAGAACAAACTAAAATAACTTGCCAAGAATTTCCCAAGCAGCTTTAATCTTGAGATACCACCATGGCCCAAACAAACGATGATAAGGATCTATGGAAAACATGGGGAAACAAAGAAGTGATGGGTTTAAAGCCTCCAGAAAATAAAAATGCAGCTGGAAGGAGGAGCATGGGGTTTCTCCAAGCATGCCAAGCAGGGAAACTCATTCCCTTTGAATCACAGGGAGTCCTTTCCAGCTGGTTTCAAAGAAAGTTGGATGTGGTCATGAAATGACTGTGGCACTGTCACTCGTGCCCACATGAGTTCATGGATGAGCTGGAAGTGCCAGTGGATTTTTTTGCAGCCTGAGGAATGATGCACTCCAGGAGAAATGGGAGYTCTCCCTCCCTCTCTGCTACAGCCAGTGGAGACAAACAACTTCCCCCATGCCTGATGCTGGGGAGATAAGGGGAATTGGGGAATATGGTCATAACTGAGGCTGGAAGGGAAGAGGGAAGCCCAGGACTGGACAGGCAGGAGAGGCAGGGAATGTGGCACAGCCTTGCAGTCACAGCTGAACCGAACCCCAGGGTGCTCTTCCTTCTGGAAATGCTGCCAAGCACAGCTCAAAGCATCAGGAAGGTGAACAGAGCACATGGAGACACCTGTACCGCTGTTTGGTACATCTCAGTACCAGAACATCTGTGGAAAATGAACAAGTTTCCCCCTTGAGCCAAAAGAAATGGCACAGCAGAAGTTCCAGATGTCAGGGAATTGGGAATCTCTCCCAGGACCAGGTGGGGAAGGTGAGGAAGGTGTTGTTTGGTGGTAGAGAGGGGCAAGCCTGAGCTGCAGTGGCTGCGGGTGCTGCATCCCAGCTGCTTCTGCCCTGCTTTTCCAGCAGGAAATCTCCAGTWACCGCCCCATGATCTCTTTTGCTGTCCTGTGTCCCACATCCAGAGCTGATGTGAACCAAAGCACTTTAGAGGAGGTGAGAATCCCTCCCCTTCCCAGAGAGCAGCAAGATATCTCAGGGATGAGGAGGACATTCTGGGATGGGTGATAAGCAACATTTGAATTTTTGTGTGACRGACTGAGCTCTTGGGCCAATGATGTTGGCAGAGTCTGTCACGGTGCCTGTCTGTWGGGGACATTATTCCATGAGGTTACTTAGCTTTATTTTTTGTGGTGGATTTAGCTGGATAGAAGCCTTCCACCACTGTGACCTCCAGTGGGTTATTTGAACCCATCACTGTTCAACCAATGACCCCGACACACATTTCCATGAGAGCTGGGAGCTCTCCCTTCCCCTTTCACACTGCRCTGCTCCAGCTTTCCCAGTGCTTAGGCTCTCTCCATGTCCCTCTCCATRATTTCCTTCCCCCAGGCTGTCTACAAGGCGTGGCTGTGCTCCGAGTACTTCAACGTGACCCAGCAGCAGTGCCGGCAGCGGATCCCATGCAAGCAATACTGCCTGGAGGTGCAGACCAGGTGCCCCTTCGTGTTACCGGACAATGATGAGCTGATCTATGGAGGTTTGCCTGGCTTCATCTGTACGGGTAAGGAGGGCCGGGCTCACACGGGGCACGGGGGAGGTGATGCTGAGCCCTGGGGAATTTCCAAGCCGCTTTCCTGGGCTTGGAAGGCTGGTCAGGGCAGAGTGGGAGGAGATGAAGTGTGGAAATAYTGCCTGGTGCCGAAATGTGGCCATCCCAAGGGTACAGTATAAGCGGTTAATGGGGACACAGCAACATCTCAGCACAGGAGATAAAGGTCCCACCTCTGACTGAAAAGCTAAAACATGGAGGGATCTGCAGGTGATGGATTAAAGCAGGGCAGGGATATTCAACGTCTGTGAGCAGGATTTGGGGAGCCCTGAGCTYGCCTTGCTGCTGTATGCAGGCTCACAGACACACTGGGGGCCAGTCTCAGGGGGTGTCCTGATTTTCAGGTGTGCCTACCCCACGTGCCTGGCAGGCACCAGGGCTCTGTCCCTCCACAGCCTCATCCTCAGTGTCCCACTGACCCCTCCTCCTGCTCCTTCCTTCCCGCAGGGCTGCTGGAGAACCAGCTGCCCGACGAGGAGGCCAAGTGCTGCGAGGTGCAATGGGACTCCTGCGAGCACCCCCCAGACAGCAACGAGGACACATCCCCCCAATCCACGGCGTCAGAGTCGCTCCATTTCCACCGCCACGACCCCCACCTCCATCACCAGCGGCAGAACCACTACCACCTCTACCACCACCACCACCACCAGTACCACCAGCCCCGCTCCCCGTCCTTGCTGCCGGTCTCTGCGGGGTCTCGCCTCAGCAGCAGCAGGATCAGACTGTGTGTGCTGGTCCTGATGCTCCTCCACACCATGGTGTCCTTCTCGAGCGTGCACGGCGGTGCCGGGGGGCTCRGCCTGGAAGCCCCACCCGCCCTGGAAGAGAGCGTGGCACGGGACGAGTGAYGCGGAGGGCAGAGCCGACCTCCAAGGAGAACGCCAGATCTTTTTCCATAAGGGGGGCACATGCTATTCCTCCAATGGGAGGCACGGGATTGGGGGTGGCRCACACGCACCCCCGCACATCCCCCAAGAGCTGCTCGCGCGGGGCATCCCCGTGGTGAAGAGTCTCTAACGCGCACAGGGCTGCGGGACCCGGCGCCAGAAGGGTTCGGGCAGGGGCAGCATTCCCGGCCCCGCAGGCGCCGGGCGGGCAGGAACGGCACGGGGGCGGGGGGACCGAGGGGAGGGGTCCCTTGGGATCGAGGGGTGTCCCCGTGGGACTGCCGAGTGTCCCCGGCCGCTGCCGCGAGTGCCTTGGGCTCCCGCGCCTCCCCCGCCCACACCGCGCCAGGTTTGACGGTCGGCCCAGCCTCGTTCCTTTTCTGCTGGGTCTGTGAATCCCGAGGGAGCAGGCGGAGGGGCAGCACCTCCTGGCACAGCCTGTCCCWCTCCTGTCCCAGGGAAAAGCCACCGGCTCTGGGCAGAACCACGCTGGTGGGGCGCAGCGTCCTCAGTGCGGCTCTGCCTTGCTGGTGGGGTTTGGGGACAGGAGTGGGACGCTGTGACACTGCACTGTGGTACCACTCGGGGTTGGTCTCACTGCATCCCAACCTGCTCCTCCAGCCTGACCTTTCCTGCTCCTCTGGGCGAGGAGGTGGAGAGGGAGGAGGCGTGGAGCAGGAGGGGTGTCCCCAGCATTCCCACATCCCACTTTGCCAAGTGTCCTGATGATTTAGTGTAACCTTTTTTGTTGTCCTTCCTGGCTGGTGGGACTGGTCTCAGTGAGGCAGTGGGGAGATGTGACTCCAGCAGCACACAGGCTGAGGGAGACGGATCCCACATGGCAACAGTTGGATGCAGGGAATCCCAAAGGCATCCTTCCATGCTTCCCAGCTACAAATCATTGACTGGATGGCAGGAGGACTCGGCAAAAGGGCTGGAGAAATCTGGCTTGGAGGGAGAGTCTCCCACACAAAGAGGCACTAATAAGGCCCAGCYAGGGAGGAGCATTTTTGTGAATAGTTTCAATCCACAGATGCCCCCAGATCCGGAAATTTCTGGGATCCCAGCTGGACTTGGCTGGGCAAGGTGCTGGCTGGTGCAGCCTCATTCGGCTTACTTGGGGTGGTTTTTTAATCTGAGCTCAGCATATCCGGGGATTGAGCCCCAAACAAACATCAGATCCCTAGGATCTGATCCCCAGGTCATTTCCTAGGAAACTCCCAATCTTCCACCCACCCACCAGAACTGTTCCCAGCATGGAYGCTGCGAGGTGGTGCCTCCGGGCTGGGCACCAGGGGCTGGAATTTGTCCTGGGTGTGAACAGGGAAGGAGGAGAGGGGTTTTTAGCACGAGGTCACGAGTYGGGTGTGAACCCACTCTCTGCTCCCAGAGGGGCTGGGATGCTCCCTCTGCTTTCAGGCTGGCTCATGAYAGGAATCTACAGCAGAGCCCTGTGTGGATCTCTGCAGGAGACAGGGATGGAGCAGGAATGTCCTGCTGTATCCCAAACTGTTCCCAGATCCCTGTGAGGGTGCAAGAAGTCCCAGAGTTGATGACCTGTAGGAGTTTTGTGGTTTCTCGTCTATGAAGGTGAAGCAAAACYGAGCAGAGCCCCATGAGCAGACCCCCATGAGCAAAGCTACTTCCTGCCCGGCTGGAARAAGGAAGTACCAGGCATCTCGTGGGAAGCACAGGTTTCCTGACATTTCCAGCCCATTTCCAGACCAAAGAGGCTCTGAGAAGCAGCTGAATGTTTGATTCCTGCTTTGACTTGAATATCAGAGCTTTGGGGTGATGTTTACACACCACCAGTTGCCTGTTCCCAAAGTCCTGCAGAGATGAGGCCTGTGATCCCATTGTCCTGTGGTTTTTAGGGTGGAAGAGGTGGTGCTCATGGAGGATGGAGAGTGTTTCCTGAGCAGATTCCCTTGCTGTTGCCACCAAAAAAAGTAGGATGTCTCTCATATGACTGTTCCTCATGACATCCATATAACTCCAGCCTAGTTTACACCAATCAGAGCAGCTGGACATGGAGCAGTTCTGCAAACTGGGGTCCAATTCCTTGGTTTTCTGTAAGCAGTGGGTTGTGGAGCTGCTCTGACAAGGAGCAAAAGCTCCCAGGCAGGCCAGGGGAGGGAGCACAGCCCCATCCCTGCCTGCAGACAGCCGGATCCTGAAGGAAATTAGATTTCTCCTGTACTGCCAAGAGTTAAGCTAATTCCAGGCGCCTCTCTCGGAGATAGGCCCTGTCCAATCTTGGAGCGASTCATCGGGAAAGAGAAGAATAGCCCAGGGTGGTGCGTCAGCGAGTGGCCCTGAGTCACTGGCCCTGTTCATTGTGTCATGTGTGACACTGAGCAGTGCTGGTGGACACGGGGTGTCCTGGTCTCAGTCCCTGCACCACGTGCAGATCCAGATCCAGCACTATCCTGAGGGTTGTGTGTCATTCCCCCTGCCGCAATGCCCTTGTGTCCCACTGGAGATGGAGCATCAGGCCAGGCTTGGGGTGGGGTGATGGGTGATGTGGGATTCCCAGAGAAGCTGTGGAAGTGTCCAAGGCCAGGTTAGACAGGGCTTGGAGCAGTCTGGTCCAGTGGGAGGTGACCCTGCCCATGGCAGGGGGTGGAACAGAATGGGCTTTAAGATSCCTTCAACCCAAACCATTCCATGAGTCCATGATTGCCACAGAGCTGCAGGAGTGAGGTCCAACAACCCAAGTCATCTTCGGGGATTTACTGGGATAACCTGGGAGCTGTGAGGAATGGTTTCATCTTCCCTAACACCAGCTGGAGGCTTCCCTTGGGAGGCCAGAGCACGTGCTGCATCCCAGTGAATTGGGAAGTGGAACCAGCTCAGAACTGGGCTGGTTGGGGTGGCGGTTTGGGAGATTTGAGCCACATCCCTCGGGAGTGAGAAAACCCCAAGGGCAGTTATGGAGGAGATCCATGTGTTTTCCAGGCCGTGGCTCCCAGGAGGATGAGATGCCAGAGGGAGCACACGAGATGCAAATCCACTCTGGGAGCATGGGCTGGGCTTTACCTGCTGCAAGTGGGAGGAAAGTGCTGAGTCCTCCCAGAGTAAGGCTGTGGAAGGAGATCTTTTCTTTAGYGAGTCTGGGCTGCTGTCAATAAGTTTTGTGGTTTTAGGGCACCATATGCTGCATTCAACACTTTGCCAGTCTCCTTAAACGGATCCAGACAAGGCTGTTCCCAGAGCAGGAGCAGCTGGAAGCGGTGTATGGAGCAGTCCATCATCAGGAACCCGTCGGATAAAATTCCTGCCTTTGGTCTGACATTACAACCTCCTAATCCTCCATCCACAAAGTGCTCTGGCTTTGCTCTCCAAGAGAACAGCCCGGGAAGCAGACAGTGACATTCTCTCACTTAACACCACTGGCATTATTTTTATTTCAACATGGAGGGGATGTGCCTGGAAAAGGAGGGGATGTGCCTGGAAAAGGAGGGGATGTGCCTGGAAAAGGAGGGAATGTGCCTGGATAAGGAGGGAAAGGGATTCTTCGCCCTGTGTGTCCAGGGATGCTTCACCCCAAGCCCTGTGTCCACCAGGGCAAGGGTCCCTTCACAATCCCAAATGCTTTCCACATTCCCAAAGCCACCTTGGAAAACATGAGCTGTAAATGATTTATCCTACCAGGAACTTAAATCCAAGGGGCTTTGTCCTTTTCATCCAGTGATTTTATCTTTTCCCTAAAGAAAGTGCCCCATGTTGGGAATTGATATGTAAAACTCAACCTTTCTTTTAGTGGATAAACTTCTCTTTGCTCAGAGAAAATTCACGGTGGGAAGCATTGATTCTTGCCTGGTGAGGGGGTTTCTCATCCCCAGAGAGGTGAGGGATGATGTTGTCTCCACAATCTTCAGGTGTGGGCAGGGAGAAGGAGCAAAGGGAGCTGGGTTCAGCGTTATTCTCGGGTTTTGCACTTTCATGTAGCTGCCAGTTGTACAAATTAATTAAAAATAACTGAAGAAAAATCCCAAAGAAAGGCCCCGCTTCCTCYGGGGAACATTAATCATTAGTTGAGTCTTTTTCTTATGAAAATACAGATCCATGGTAGCCCCAGGCACAAGATTCCCAGGGAGAGCCCTCACCATTCGTGCTCAGAGTTAGGGAAATCGCTTTGAAAGCATCTGACAACTAAAGCAGAACATGTTGAGTAACTTGGCAACACTGGGAAAACATCTGGAACTGGTTTTTCTTCAACACATTTTGCTTTGCTTCAAGAGGAGATGTCAGGGCAGTTCATTCACTGCCACTCAGGGCCGCGGGCGGGGCCGGGAGACGCTCGGCTGCCACCTGGAGGAAGGGAATAACGGGAATAACGGGAAAATCACAGATTTCTGCTGCTCCTGGGCAGGATCCTGCAGGTCCAGGCCATGGAGTGTCCCCATGCTGAGCTCTGCAGGTGCCTCCTGGTCTCTGGTGGCACCCAGTGTGGAGGTTTGGGATGGGTTGTTGAGGTTGCCTGGGGAGCTGTGGCTGCCCCATCCCTGGGAGTGTCCAAGGTCAGGTTGGATGGGGTTTGGAGCAGCCTGGGATAGTGGAAGGTGTCTCTGCCCGTGGCAGAGGGTGGGACTGGATTATATTGAAGGTTCCATCCAACCCAAATCACTCTGGAATTCCATGATTTCCAYAGGGCCAGAGGGAGTGAGGTCCCATAGCCCAGGTTACCCTCAGCTTGTGATTCATCCTAATCCCATTTCTGCTGCCGCCCGGGAAAGGAATGTCTGTAGGGATTGGTGGAGACAAAGTCAGGACAGAAACATTGCTGGATTCTGCCAGAAAGCGATGGGGCAGTGTACTGATTTGAAAGCAGAGATTCCAAATCAGAACTACAATTTAATAGGAAAATTAAAATRAAGGCAATGGTACAGAAGCACTGGCTTAAACTGACAAAGTCAGAACACRACCTGACACCCTGTTGGTMAGCGTGGTGGTAGCAGTCRGATTAAATGGTGGGTGCCATCCCGTTGGAGTGATGGATGTGGTTTYTTTGAAGCAGWCATCCTGTAGAAAGGTCTGGCTCTTTCTGGAGGTCAGTGGTGGTTGYTGAGCTCTTGTCCTCTGGGAATCCAGTGRGAGTGCCCCTGTGCTGTTCCAAATYTCAGATAATAAATATCCAGGTAGGAATGTTTGGTTCCTTCCCTCAGGGCAGGGCATGTCACARTGGGATGGTGGAATTCTGTGAGCCATTCCAGCAGACACTGATGGCCCTTTAGCAGAGATGGCTCCCCAGGGTGGCTGCTGCTTCCCCACAGGGAATTATCCGGGCTGAGTCACAGAGAAGATAAAGAACACTGCCCCACCTGTCTTAACAGCTTGAGGAGATGATCATAGAGTACATATTTTTGGTTACATCTTGCACTGTAACCCGGCAGGAATTCCATGTATCAGCTTTGTGTGCTTCCCCAGGGGCTTCCCATCCCTGGGGGTTAAACCTCTCAAATTATGCTGGAAAAGTTGGGAATGGCCATATCTGGTGTTCAGTTGGATGTTAAGGATCTCCTTCAGCCCGAAAGTCAGCTTGTGGGCATCCCAGCTGGAGGTACCATATCACACAACCCCAAAATCATCCCTTCTGCCACAGAAGGAGCCTGTTCAGAGCTCCTGGATCACGACATCCCTGGATCTGCAGAGCTCCCACCATGATACCATTTAATTCCAGGAAYTGAAGGATTTTAGCTGTTCTTTTTGGGTGTTCCACAGCTCCTACCATGAGTCCATTTAATTCCAGGAATTGAAGGATKTTAGCTGCTCTTTTTGGGTGTTTTTGGTCCAGGTGGCTCTTTGGGTGACCTCCCAGCCCTGCATGTCTCTGTGAGSAAGGAGGAAGGGAGCAGAGAGAATGCTATGGTGCATTTTTAATTGAGAATCATTTAAAAAGCAAGGAATAATAAATTTTAACAGTTATTGGGGTTTTATCAAAACTCTCAGCATCTCTCAAAGGCCTGGGCAGGAGATGGGTGAGTTCCTGAGCCCAGTCCCTCCACSCATTGCTGCTCCACATCTCCAGGACTTGTGTTCCAGGCAAGGCCAGGAGTGGTTTCCAGCCTTTTTAGCATTTCAGGACGATCCTTTTTCAGCCCTGAAAGTCAACAACTCCGCTTGTTGTAAATTGAAATTCAACAAAAAAAAACCGCAGTAATTAGGTTTGGCTTATGAAATTTGGGGTTGGTTTTACCATTTTTAAATGTATTTGGGAACTGGACATGCCTGAGTTGCAAAACAAAAAGACAAAAAGAGCCAGACAGTGATTTTTTTAATTTTGAAACTTGTCAAAACAAGCCAGATTGATCATTATGACCAATTTCTTTTCCTTTTTTTCTTTTTTTTTTTTGCAAATTGAGAAATGCATCCAGAGCAGCCCTTTCCCACAAAACCTTTCATTTTCCAAAAGCAAAAAAAGAAATCACACTTTTTCTGCTCACACAGTTGGAACGGGCAGCAGYGAATTGGGAGAGAATAGCAATTTGTAAGGAATTCCAACCAGCTCTCCTTAAAATAGCATCCAGCCAGTTTCTCCAGGGCAGGAGGCTGTGTGGCTCCATGGTGGGAACAGGCTGGAGCGAATCCTGGATGAGCAGGCTGGGATAACACCTTGGGAATGCAGGGACACCTTCCCGTGGGAGTCGGAATTCCTGGGGATCCCCAGCCATCCCTCTGCTGGAGGTTTGGTTTGGTTTTCTGTTCCAACCCAAACTCCTCCRAGCCTCCTGTTGGGACACAGCCTCAGGATGCCTTTAAAAGGGATAYGCTCCCGTCTGAGCATGGGGGTGGAAATTGGGAACAAATTCCGTGTGCTGGTCCTTGAGGGAGCCAACGCCGCGTTCAGGAGGGATGTGGGAAGGAGAGCAGGAGGAGATCCCAGCCCCTCGTGCCCTTCTCCAGAGTGTGTTCRAGCTGGGGATCCCTGCCTTGGGCTGGGTGTCCCAGAGCCTCGGGGGGATCAGTGGGAACCTCAGGGGGACCAACCCCTGCCGTGCCCAGGCTGCTGGTGCCCGAACCCTTCTCAAGTGCTTGTGCCATGTGGGTGGTGACAGAGCTCAGCCCGACCCCAACGAGGTCCTTTTCCAGTGCGTGGTGGTGAAACACAAACCAACATTGCTGAAGTCAAAGTATCCTTTCTAATCCCCCGGCCCGGTTTCTCTTTCTTTCCAGCTTTTCCTCCTCCGCCTCCYGGACCCTCCCTCTGTTCCCACCCCCCTTCTGTTTCTCTTTCTCCTCTCTGTCATAAGAAAGTGACTGTGTCCTCGAGGGGACAGTTTTCTTATGCCATTTTATACACTGTGCTTCATGTTTAGAACTTTTTTGCACTAGTTCCTATTACATTTATTTTCCAAACTGGTTTGACAAAAAACAAACAAAAAAAACCCAACAAAAACACAATCCCATGCTATAATTCAGTTGTATTAAAATATTATCCTACTACTCTCTGTGTTCAATAGTCTCTGTACCTGTAATGCTTTCAGTTCTGTTGTATTTTGGGGCCGAGGTTTTCTCTGCTCCTTGTTTAACCCAGTAAAGAAATAAAATGTTAAGAATTGATGATAACTCCTCTTCCCTGTCTCTGCCGTGTCATTGGAGCCATCGGGGTCCCACAGGGACGGGCTCCCCAGAACCTGCCCTAAACCCCAGCTGCTGTCCCATGGGGGTTGTTTTCCTGCCAAATCCAATCCCAACTGGAGGCCAGAGAGGCGGGATGGAGGGACAATAACCCTGCCTTAACTGAATTTGATTTCGTAACCTTTCTTTATATTCTTTTGTTTCTTGCCTTCACATTTCTTGCCACGGGGCTCACCTCAGAACAATAGGGGCGAAGGCTGTCACCAAGAGATTCATCAGACAATAATGACTCAACCAGGGTATCCAAATTTTGCCCAGATGAAGTCCACACCCACACATAATCTGGAATTAATTCCTCTGGACAACAGAGCTCGGCATGGAACAGAGCGAGGACACCGCGCTCCAAATTGAGCGCTGCGTGCCAGGCTGGGAAAGGCCACGGGATGAAACTCTGGATTTCCACTGTGGCCATAGCCCTATCCCGAGCTGGAAACCCTCTGTTGGGAAAGAAAACCAGGAAAAGGGGAAGAAAGTGCATGGGGATGGAAATAGATGTTTAAAAGAACACAGATGGGTGCAGGAGGCGAATGGGGGAGGCACCAGCTCTGCTGGAGAGCTAGGACAGGGAATTTGGGGGCTGGTGGGTCACAGGAGAGGGACTGGGGTGGGTAATGAGGGGGCTGCACCTCCCCAGCGTGAGCAGCAGGGAAAGGGGATTCTGTCCCACCTGCAGAGCTGCCTCAAACTCTGGAACCCCAAAATCAGAAGGACATGGAGCTGCTGGAGCAAATCCAGAGGAGGCCACGGAGCTTCTCCAAGGACTGGAGCCAGGCTGGGAGAGCTGGGGGTGTCCACCTGGAGAAGAGAAGGTTCCAGGGAGAGCTCAGAGCCCCTTCCAGAGCCTAAAGGGGCTCCAGGAGAGCTGGAGAGGGACTGGGAACAAGGGATGGAGGGACAGGAAAAGAGAGAATGGCTTCCCAGTGCCAGAGGACAGTGTTAAACAGGAAATTGGGAAGGAATTCCTGGCTGTGAGGGTGGGGTGGCCCTGGCACAGGGTGCCCAGAGAGGAGGAAGGGATGTTTGCCCCTGCAGACAGGAAAATAGCCACTGGAGCCTATCCCCAGGAAGCCTCAGGTGCCCCAGATTTTCCTGCTGCAGGCAATTACAGCAGCTCAGGTGACTCCCAATCCCAGAGTGATTCCTCCTTGGCATCCCTAAACTGCCCCAAGCAGCTCTGGGCCCCAGCTGGGCTTTAGGAACTGCATAAAAGGGTCCTGCAAGGGTTGGGGCTGGTAAACAATGTTGGGATCAGCCTTTTCAAGAGCGTATTTGGGATATTTTCCTTTGGGAATGCTGCTGGCAGGATGTGTCCCTGCAATCTTGGTGCCATTTCTCATTCCCACTGATCTCCTGGGTGCCTGGGGAGCAGTGATGCCACTCCTGAGCTCCCAGGGAAGGGTTTTGGTGGCCATGTGGTGCCCAAACTCCTGCAGCAGCTGCAAATGCACCCAGGAACGTGCTGATTCCCGAGGATTTCATTAGCAGGCATTTGAGTTAAGTGGATRTGAGTTTTCATGGCTATAGGGCTGTGCACATCAAAGCTGGGGAGAAGTTTCTCAGCTGTAAATTTGCCTCGTGACTCCATAAAAACTGCAGTGGGCAGCATGGAAAGATTTCTGCTGGAAAGAGCCTGGAAAATGCTGCACCCCCAAGAAAAAAAAAACAAAAAAAACCACAAAGGGCTATAGATCCAAAAGTCCAGGCCTGGGTGTGTTTTGAGGTGCAAGATGGGACTCTCCAGAGGCTGAAATCCTGGGTGGGGTCTGGATTTCGAACCTCAGCCCTTCTGGATGTGGATTAGGAATTCGTTTTTTATGTCTTTATTTATAGTTTAATAGGTGACACATCAGCTCCTGCTTTCTGGGCTATCAAAAAAGAAAAGGATCATTTTCAAATTGTATTTCTGAACTATTTCAGACCTCCTGAAGCTTCTCCAYCTTCCCTGAGCAGAGGAGAACTTGAGATTTATGGAAATGCAGAAACATGGATCTAAATATGTGCTTGAGATCCTTGTTTTTCACACCAACACTTGACCATGGGAGATTAAGGATCCTGAAGAGAGGATTCCTCCTCTCGGGATGTGGTTTCAGGGTGTTTTGCACCTACCAGGAGACTTCAGAATGATTTTAGGCCTTTTCAAGTCTGGACATTCTGGACGTACTCCAACTGGAGTTTTTGATGTCAGTGAGTTTAGGTTTTACTTTTCTGGGATCAAACAGGTTTTTTGGGTGTCTTTATGGCTTTTGTGACTCGACAATGTGATGCCACCTCAGCCAACTGATGAAAATCCTGGAGTGAGGAGTTGACGTTATTAATGGTCGTCATTTTCCGCATTTTTTGCCTGGAGGACTCCTTTGTTCTCTTCTTTTTGTCTCAAAATTTGTGTTAAGTAAGAGCTAACAATTAATTTTTCATTTTTGCCCCAGCAGAGCCTGGAGGGGCTGTGGAAGGTGGGTTTGTGTGGATTTCCACRATGCTGGGAGCCAGATGGGTTTTACTGGGTGATTTCTTTCTCCCTCATTCTGCTTTTCCTGGTTTCTCCTTTGGACCATGGCTTTGGATCTCGTTTGGTACCTGAGGAAGATCATTTTCTCCACTGAAAAATTTGTGTCTTTATTAATTCAGCTTTAATTGCAGTGAAGTGAAGCCCTGGATGGGAAAGAGCTGGCGAGGGTTGGGTTTGCTGCCTCCACCTCCCTCAGGTTTCCTGCTGACCCTTAACTCAAATTGTCACCTTTTCCAGGGAATTCTTACCACAGGCTCACACTCAGCTCCGATCTCTGCTCTCTGTGACAGGGACAGGAGCCAGGGAATGGCTGGAGCTGTGCCAGGGCAAGTTTAGGTTGGATTTTAGGGAAAGGTTCTTCCCCCAGAAGGTGCCCCGAGGCTGCCAGAGCTCCAGGAGTGTTTGGACAGCGCTGCYARKGATGAACAGGGGGGATTRTTTGGGGTCTGTGCAGGGACAGGAGCTGGGCTGGGTGATCCCTGTRKGTCCCTCCCATCTCTGGAACTCCTGGGATTCTGTGAATCTGGAAMTCCTGGGATTCTGTGRCTCTTCTTCCTCCAGTCTCAGCATCTTCCCACCACCCTCTTCTCTCCCTCAGCTGTGTTGCTTGATCTTTTCTCCAAAACTCATTGAGTTTGGGGTCTTTTAAATAGAATTGAGTTGGGATTTTTGGGTCATTTCTACCCCACTCTTGTTCCTCACAGAATGGGTTTTGTGTCCCCCAGATCCCTTCTCCACAGCTCAGAGCMCAGCCCAGGTGAACAAYGAGCCTCAGGTACACCTAGCATGGACTCAGAGCAAAGCCTYGCTGACAGGAGATCCCCTGACGTGTTTGTACTCATAAACTTGTCAACATTTGGCTTTTTTGTCCCTCTTGGGGGAAATTACTGCTGTTCCTCACCCCGTGTCAGCTCCCGAGCCGCGTTGGGAACGGCGCTAAAAMCCCCGCTGTGGGTGAGGCTCCGGTGGGAGCTGTCACTACCTCGGGGTCAGGGAGCCAACGGGAACCTCTGTTCCATAAACTGTGAGTTTTTCATAAAATCCTCTCTAATTTGTACCAAAGAGACTCCAGCACACCCTTGGGACTGGTAAAAATAATAATAGTTTGAGTGGTGGAAGACTGTGAATTTGAAACAGAAGGTTGCGAGATCCACGAGAATTACCCGAAACATCAACGTTGGACATCAATAAATGTAATTTAGATATACWATGAGATAGCAGAGATTCCCACAAGGAGCTGTCAGCTCTTACCTCTTCAGATCTCGGTGAGATAAAGCAGA